CCCAGAGAGATCGAGGTGCCCCATCCCTGCAGACAACCAAGGTCTGGGGCTCTGAGCACCTGATCGAGCTGTAAGGGACTCTGTTCACTGCAGGGCAGTTGGATCAGATGGCCTTTAAGGATCCCTTCCAGCTCAAGCAGCTCTGGGATTCTGTGATTCCATGCCTGCCTAGCCTACAAATCAGGGCACTTGTCTCAGAGTGACACCTAAACACATGTTTTTGCAGGTTTTCCAAGCTGGCTGATTCAGCTGAAGCATTGGCAGCCCGCAACGTGTGCACCAAAAATGAAGTTGACTTTCTCAAAAAGAAAGCTGCCATCATCAGCAAGCTCTTCCTGAGCTCTGATATTCCTCCCAAACTGCGGGTGAGATGATGGGTCCCACCCAGGAAGCCTGTAGGCTGTTCATTGCTCAAGACCATGGCAGCTGTGAGCAGATATAGGCAGAAAGAGGCCAGACAGGGGGATGGATCTGCTCCATGAATGCTCTGAAGCTTCAGAATGCACTCTGGAGCTTGGGAACCATCCCTGGGCTCCATGGGAACTGATTTATCACCAGGCCCACGCTAGCACTTGATCTGTAGCCACTAAGAACAAGCATATAGGCATGGAGACGGTGAAATCCCCTATCTGCAGGAAGGATGACAGAGCTGAAGCACCAGGATGTGTGCTGCAATCTGCCAAATCAGTCCTTTCAGTCTCCAGAAGTCAATGTCATTATTGTGCCCTCCCCACACACCTACCTCTTCCCCTACAGTAGCAGTGGTTCTGTTTATCTCCTGTTTAGAAAGCATTTTTCCACAGAAATCCAGGAGGAATCTAGTCTTTATGTCCAGGACATTCAGCCAGGACAGAAATATTGTAACTTCATAGGCACAGCTTGAAGTGCACAGTGGGGTTAGGGAGAGAGACATGTCTCTAGGGCTCACCAGGCTGCTACAAACTGCTTTGGTTAAACAAGCTCCTTTCTGTGCTCAGGTGAACATCTCTGAAGACGAGAGAGATTTAATTTGGAGTTTGTCTTCCAAAGGCCTACTGAACCGGCTCCTCTACCACAGAGCCAAGGTGGCCATTTTCCCCATCCTGATACACTTCTGGAAGAGGTACGAAGCCCTTCTCTCTGGGTGGCGGAGGCTGCACAGATGCCAGCCTCTGCTTCCAGCCTCTGGCACGATGTAAATGAAGACATGACACTGCCCAGGATCTCAGCTGCAGATGTCTGCTCGGAGGTTTGTTGTCATTAGCGTTCCTCATGCAGGTTCTGCAACTGGAAGGTGATGAAGAGCTTCCGAGTCTACTCAAGGGAAAGGGAACCAACCTCATTGACCAGTATAAAAGCCCGTTCTGAATCATCTGAGATCTACAGCCCAAGTAAGATGAGCGCCTGTTCCCCACTCCTCATTTACACTCTCATTCTTCCAGCACAGAAGCCTCCAGTCCTGCGTTTTTTGTATCCCACGGTGTTTATGGACCCCCTAAGTCCCCAGATCTTCAGTGATGGCTCCCCATAGAAGAGCCAAACCCCTCCCATGCAGTGCACATGGCACATCCCACTAATACACAAAGCTTCAGCTACATGGGGCTGGAAAATGCAATGTCTTTAAAGCCCTTCCTCCCTCTCAAGTTCAGCCAAATTTACCCAGAGAGGTTTTAAGAAATTTCTTTAGGGAACAGTGGAGTGGGTGCAGAGAGTTCATGAGGACAGAGCTGTTGCATAAGCCCCGTTTGCTTAAAAAAAAAATAAAAATAAAAATACATCCCCTAAAAGAGCTGTTAAAGCCAGGTTACAAGTCAGCTGGGAGTAGAAGAAGAGACTGCCCAGAAACATGCAGGCAAACAGCAGGCTTATTGGCTCTGTACAGAAGATGCTTTGAGAATGTTTGGAATGGAGAAAAGGTTTCATGAGGGTCTGAGGGAGCACTCACCAGGACATCTCAAGCTCAGAGAGGGCAGATTTAAGTTAGATACACGGAAAAGACTTTTGCAGTGAGGGTGGTGAAGCACTGGAAGAGGTTACCTGGTGATGTTGTTGGTGCCCCATCCCTGGAGACTGTCAAGGTGAGGCTGGATCAAGCCCTGGGCAACCTGATGGAGCTGGGGTGTCCCTGTTCATTGCAGGGGAATTGGACAGCATGGCTTTTAAAGGTCCCTTCCAACTTTAAGGATTCTATGATCTCTAGGGAAAAGATCTTTTTTCCTTCATCTCTTACTTTGTTCCAATATACTAAACAATGCTAAACCGTGGGGGAAAAAAAAGAAAAAAAAAGAGAAACCCACAAAGAAAGTGCTGCTATGTGCTGTCACTCTACCTGACAACCTGGCTCCTTGACTGAATATTCATTTAGAAATTGCCTAATTGATTTTTTGATTAAAGGGGAAACCAAAATAGGCACGTCCTAATCTTGCTTTGACGGCCGGGTGGGTGTCTTGCAGCACAGCGTTCTGCTCCCTTTAATTCATCACTGTCAGGCTGTGAGGCTCAGCTCGGCACGGCTGGGAGATGCGGGGAGGGTAGGGGGGGGAAACAGGCAGGAGTCAGAGCTGCGGGCTCAGCAGCCGGGCTGTGGTTGCGGCCATCTCGCAGGCTGTCACCAGGCGTCACTGTGGCACTGCCGAGCCTCGCTCCGCGGAGCTCAGCGCAGTGATGCTCCTGGGGGCTCGTGTCCGCAGCTCTCCCAATGCCACCTCCCTGCGAGGCAGAGCAGGGCATGCCACCTCCTCCCTGCAAACGAGGAGGTGCGCAGAACTCGTATCTTTGTGCAAGCAAGCACCCAATGTCACCGCTTCCCTTCCATCTCCCGTGCTCTCAAGGAGCCGAAGGGGACAACACGTCTTGCTGTTCCCTCCCCACTTACTGCTCCTTCTTTTCTCCCACATCAGGCAATCACGTCGTCATTCTGTTCTCGCTCCTGCGAGGTATCCAGGTCCTGCTGCCCCGGTCTCATAAGAAGGAGTTAGAGGAAAAGCACGAGGGTGAGCAAAAGGCTGCCAGGATGGGAGTGTAGATTTAGGGCTCCCTGACACACTACGATGGGATCTGTGTTTTCCACAGGGTCAGAAAGTGCTGAGATGTCATCCAGCAGCTCCACTTCTGAGCCTTCAGAGCAGGTAGGTGGTTGCAAGACAGCCATGTCCTCAGGCTCCACCACCAGCACAGGCAGCTGGAGCAGGGGGACAGCCAGCTGGGAGGGCTGTCTCCTCCAGCTGTGGGGGTGCTGGGTAGCTGTGCAGGATGCTGCTTGCCCCACAGCCTCCAGAACAGTGTCACAGAGACACAAGACATCTCCTTTTGCTGCTCTTCCTGACTTTATACCACAGGTACTGGCCTATCCATGTCATTGAAGTGACTGATGCTACTTCTGGGTGGGCTGTTTCAGACCCCAGCTCTCTGCAGTCTTTCCCAGTAACACACTCAGAAGATCTGCAGTGGCTGCACTTCTCCCTGCTCTAAACGCATCCCATTTGTACTTTTCACCCATGCATCCACCATCAGCCACTGATGCAGTTCTTCTCCCCTCCCCACAGGATGAGGAGGAGGAGGAAGAAGAAGAAGAAACGGAAGAAGAGACAGAAGAAGAGATATCCTAGCACAACAGCCATGGGGACATGCTCCAAGGAAGCTGAGCAGCCAGGATATGCTGCATTGGCTGTGCCTAATTTGCAACAAGGCTGAAAAATAAAGCAACTCACAGCATCCTCCAGCCTCGTGCTAACACAGCACCTTGCAGGGACATGCCACTCAGGTGTATCTACCCAAGGAGATACCCATTCTCCAAACAGTCAGCTCATGCTGAATTTGGGCCTTTTTTTTTTTTTTTTTTTTTCTTCTTTTCTGTTTAAATACCCAGTGCATCTAAATTTCCAAAGCACTAACCAAATCCTACCAAATGCCTTCATTTTCCTTTTTGAAAGGCGAGGAAGTATGGCTGTGCTGAGCCACCAGGAAGCTGCAGAAATCTGGTGTACTTTAGACATCACCTCATGAAGCAAAGAGCAGAACCTTTAGCACACATTGCTCACAGCTCCCTCCCGTGCAAACTCCATTGTGTACCTTTACAGCTATTTTCAGCTACATTTTAACCCTCAAATCCTAAAACCCGCAGCCTGGCAACAGCACAGGTGTATTTAAGGCAGGAGATGACGTTTCCTGTTTGTCCATTAGGATTAACAACAATTGGCAGGATCAAACAAACCCAAAGTCCAACGTTCTCGTAAATGAGAGACTTCTCAGGAGCTGCAGCAGCTTCTTACAGCCAGCTGCATGTCCAACCAGTTCCTCAACACTGCCCTTGTGCTGCAAGCTGGGTTTACCCCAGGTTTCCAGCCCCAAAAGCTATCTGCATTGCATCAGCCCATAAGTCACAGCACACATTCATGGTGAGCCATGCATGCATCAGTGCCCAGAGCAGCAGCTCAGGTACTAGCACGGTGCAAGTACTGCACTGGCAAGTGAGCAGAGCCATTGCATGAGCACACTGCATGATGCGAGTTGGGAAGGTGCAGAAATCTGACTGCACTTTGTTTGCACTACAGAAAGCAGCTCACAGCCAGGCTCAAAATAACAGATGTGCCTGGATTTCTCGTGTACACACACACACACCAAGATGCATGGCAATCAGGCTCACGCACAGTACTGCCTGCTGGTTTGCAAACACGTAAAGATATCAGCACACACAGCTAAGCAGATGCACGGGGCTCAGTGATGCATTCTGACAGTCACTCCCTAGTAGAGGAGATGGGTCAAACACACCCACTCTGAATTTTGCATGTACACAAGAGCACGCAAGCATTGATTCACCTTTACACATCAACTCAGGCATGAAATCCTCATCCCATGAAAGCAAAGCAACAATTAGTCCTCCATACAGCCCATCCCCCAAGAGATGTTATGCACCCAAGGAGAGGAAGCCTTCAGTGCCAGTACAGCTTCAGAATGCTTTCCTCCCTCAGGGAGGGGTGGGGTACCTCATTCATAGAAGAGCATAGGAGATGTCAGTTTTCCAAAGAAGTTTATTCCCGGTTTGGCTCTGTACAGGCTAATAGAACACCAGTCGGTTTTTCATAGCATTAAAAGCCCTGAATGAGAAAATATTCCATAAGCACTATGTAAGCATTGTGCCACCTCCTATTAACAGAGAAACAAGCAACCCCTGGGACAGTGAAGATGCCACAAGGTTTCCATCTCCAAGGGGTAAAGCCCAGAAGGATGGAGAAGTCACTGACCTAACAGTCAGCTTGGCTCCTCTCCCAGGCCCATGGTTCCTGTACCAGACACATCTCCTGAACCATATTCCATTTTCTCAGACCAAGTCCTCTGTGCTCAGCCCCTGCCTATGCTCTCATGTCCTTACCCACCTTCTTCAACTCTTTTGCAGCTGAAGGAGGCAGAGAAAGTGGGATCATCCATGGGAGGCGAGGCAACGGGCTCCTATGAAGAAGGGTCCTGAAAGTCTATGAAGTGACTGTACCTGGGATGCCGGCGTAAACGGTTGTAGGCATGAATGGTCAGTTTTGGAAAAAGCTTCAGGAAATACTCAGCATGGTCTCCTGCTATTTCACTGATCCTGAAGGAGAAAGAACAAAAAATAAAACAAGAAAATAAAAGGTTTATAAAAGAACATCCAAGGAACCCATGATGCCTCAATTCCTCCCTTGCAGAGAAAAAGCCATTCTGAAGGTTTCCTACGAATCCTTGAGCTGCAACTTTTCCATGCTTTCCCTAAGACCTGCACTCTACCTTTTTGCCATTTCTACAGCACCTCCACCTGCATCTTCACAGAAGACCAGTGCTGGCCACAGAAGAGCCTTGGTGAAAGCATGACTTGGAGTTAAAGCCTGTGTCACCAGAGACCTGTGGCCTCAGATGTGAAACGCCCGTGGTTTTAGAGGATTAGGCAGTCCAGCAGTTCTTCAGAAGCACTGAATGAGTCATTGGCTGCCCAGGATGGTGGTGAATTCACCATCCCTGGAGGTTTTCAGGGGAAGGGTAGATGGGGCACTGAGTGGCATGGTTAGAGCATGGGTTGGTGGTTAGACGGTCGGACTTGATGATCTTAGCGGCCTTTCCAACCTTAATGATTCCATGATTCAAGCTGCCTCAGCTCAGTAACATCAGCACTTTGGAAATAGAAGCAAGCAGTAAGGAGGCTACCTCGAAGTACAAGGAAGGGATGATACAAATCTGGGAGCCAGATGTTGCTTCAAAATCTGAAGTTTAATCCTGTGAGCGAGCTTAATTCTCACCCTCAGGTGGTGTTACACAACCCTATATACACTACTGTGCTGTCAAAGGAAGCAACCCCTGAAAAAATGAGTTTTAGTGAACTTCCTCCCATATCCCAGGCTCCTTTCTAAAGAAGATTTTGCTCTCAAACTCACTGACACTTACAGATATCCAACAAAACAACCGTGTCAGGGACAAGCATGTGAACACGTACCTCTTATTAGGGTGCTCATCCAGATTTCTGATGAATCTCAGTAGGTGTGCAATGTTTTTCTCGTAGAATTTTTTTCTACCATTGACAGTCGTCATGATGCGCAGAATCTCTCGATCAATCTGAAATAAGATTATAGCTTATTTATTCCCTGCCTTTCACACACACCATGAAAGCAGCACATCTGCTTTTACTTATCACAACTCCTGCCTTTCTGCAGAGACATCACCTTGCATGGCTGCACTCTGTGGCACTTGACCAACATGAGCTCTGCAGGAAACACACCATACAGACTCCCTGATCCTGCCTGGCTGAGGCATAGCATTCATATTAGGACTGTCAACGTGGCACGGTTGATTATAAACATCTACAGGTCTAGAGAGGAGGAGAGAATCCAGAGTCTTGGTCCAGCTGAGGAAAACTTCTGGTTGAAGATCTAGCTCCAACTTCACACCAACCCAAAGACGAGAGGTTTACCTGCTTAATCCAGTTTGGGTAAAGAATAGGTTTTCCAGCATTAAGAGTGTTAAAAGCATCCTCTTTATCATCATCAGTCAGATCTTTGATTTTATTCCATATATTCTTTAGGACATTGAACTTCCTGCAGAACAAGGACCTTCATTAGCTGCAACAGCTAACACCATTCCCAGCATTGCAGGCAAATCCTGCACAAACAACTTGTCTTTGTGCTCTTAGGGCTTACTTCTGTTTGCTCCAGAAATAGGGGTGCTCGCTCAGATCTTCCAAACCCCGTTCATCATGAGAGGCCAGGCTATCAATAAGGTCCAAAGCCTCCTCATAATCCATGGAACCCGCATCCATATCCTTGGTACTGACTTCGTTAAGGGGTTTCCTACCCCCTGTTAAAACATACAGCATGAGCTTGCTGAGGTTCTGCAAAGAAACAAATCAAGACGTGTGAAGGTTCTTACCAAATGGAAGAACTGGGACCAGTATTCCTAAGTGAGCAGAATGTATGCATGGGTCTGCAGGTGTGCACAACTGGGCAAATATATATGGATAGAAACTCTGAAGGTTTGTGCACAATGAGATGGGGCAAACACCATAATCCAGATCCAAGGGCTGGGTCCCAGAACCAGCCCAAGCCTCACATCCCAATCACTGCCATTCTCATATGTGGTCTACTGTGACATGGGCTTGCCCCAAAAGCAACACATCTTCTAGTTGAGGATGCACAAGAGATGCCCCTAGAAATCAGCAAAAGAAAGCATCAGAAATATCCTGAGGCTTGAAACCGTACACTGATTAGGATGGAAGTTACCTCTAAGTCTTTATTGATAACTTCAGTTTTGCCTTCAGTCAGCTTTCTGGTGCTATCAAAATCCGTCAAGTAAATTTTGCCACCTAAATCTGGGGAAGAAAGAGAATGTTAACAAGTGAGGAACATTGATACAAGCTTGTCACTGCTTTCTTTAGAAAACAGATCTCTGGAGAGACTGCTGTGGGTTGTGCTATATGCAAAGTCCAGAAATGCGAGCAGATCTAATGAGACATGAAAGCTACTCTATTCACTCCCCCAGGACTATCTGGAACACATCTGTGCTGATGCAGAGAACTAATGCCACTCTGCATGAACTCATCTGCACCGGTCTTTCATATCTGGCTTAGGATGGGAGGTGTCAGGCAACAGGAAAAAAGCAACAACAACAAAAAAAACCCACCAGAACAACAAAAACCAACCAACCTATCAAGAAGTTCTTGGGATGCAGAGACTGGTGAGCAAACCCGAGTGAGTGCAGCTCTCTCACTGCCTGGAAGATCATCTTCAGGATGCCTTTGGGATCCTTTTGGTCTTCCGGGTCCTGCAGATGTTCTTCGAGGTTTTTCTCCCAGAGAGGGAAGCACAAATACATGCAGCCCTTTTCTTGCTCAGATTGGAAGAGCTTCAGTAGATGTTCACAGCTCCCACATTGGCCAAGGAATGTTTTCTCCTTGACACCTTCTGCACGGTGGTGTATCCATACTGCCACCTCCATCTCATCATAGAGCCCAAGGTAGATGTTGTCCTGAATTCTCTGAGAGGTGTGCTGAAATACTTTTAATTTGCCAATCATGGGGCGATACATCTTATGAAGACTTTGCAACTGGTGCCTCCAACGTTTGCTCTTTGGCTCCCACTTGTCAGGTTTTGTTGGAACAAACATGGTGTTATACTTCAGAAGAAGGCATGCCATTTCGCTAGCACGGTTCCTATTTGCAACAGCAACAAGTTCCCCAATGTCAGTCCTTGCACCTTTCTTACACAGCATCTCCGCTATATCATATGTGTTTTTCTCTACAGCCACCGCCAGAGCTGTTTGGCCATCCTCACCTGCTTCATCAATTTTTATGTCATCCCTGTCCAACAGAGCTTCCACCAAACTTGTATTCTTCCTTTGCACAGCTAGAATGAGGGCAGTTTTGCCAGCTTCATCTTTGCAGTTGACATCAACACCACGTTCCAGCAGGAAACGGCCTATTTCAAAGACATCTGACTCATTTTTTCCCCTTACATTATCCTTGAGGGCATGGATCAAAGCGTTCCTACCTTCATTGTCACAAATGTTCACATCAGCCCCCATCTCCTGGATAAGAGTTTTTACCACTGAGAAGTGGCCTCCCAAACAAGCATCCATCAGTGCAGTCTTCCCTCCCTTGCTCAGTTTCTTCTTCTCCTCACTGGCTGTCCTCCTCAAATTCACATCTGCTCCTTTGCTGTGCAGGAACCTCAAGGCTTCCTCCTTCCCATACAAAGCAGCTTCCATGAAAGCAGTGAATCCATTATCGTCACTGTCATTAACGTTAAACCCACAACCGAAAAGGAGCTCCAGTATTTCCACGTCTCCCACCATCGCTGCCTCAATAAACGCAGTGCCACCGTTATCCTTCCTGGTGTGTGGGCATGCACCTTTGGCCAGCAAAAGTTGGACCATCTCCTTGTCACCAGATTGCACAGCACTTTGAAGCGGTGTCCATCCAAATTCTACTTTGGAGTTCACATCTGCCCCATTTTCCAGCAGCTCCAGTACCTTTTCCCTCTGGCCATATCGCAAAGCATCATTTAACTCAGAGGCAATGTTTTCTGCTCTCTGCATGCTAGATGCCTCCTTCTGAATGTGGGCTCTGGGCTCCATGATGATCACAGGGAGGACTCTGTACCCTGGTGTTCCTCACCAAGCAAACATCAAAGATCCAGAGATCTCAGTGAAGAACGGGTTAAGTCAACACTCAGTGTCTTCATCATGAGGGATGCTCCAGGTCTGGCTGATGGAATGCACTAGGTGAGATATTGGCTTCATGGTCTTCACCTAATTAATAAGCAAAAGACCCTATTTTATTAAGCCATGAAACCTAATCGTTCACACTGATGCCTTGCAGATGTGAGAGGAGCAACTAAGGATAGCAATGCCAATGCTAGCTGAAACAAGCATGACTACAACATTTACTGGGGGACACATTCCCCACTCATCCTCATTGCTTGCCCCATTTCACTGGCCACAACACAAGCAGGCACATCTGAATGAAGGGATGGGGTGAATTTAGCATGTTCTTGTTAGTAAAGTAATGATGGATTTCCTGCAGGTTATCCAGTAAGCTGGTCCCTGATGTTCTCCCCATCCAGTTGGAGAACACAGATGCAGGCAGAAACTGGCACTCTCCTGCCTAACAAGCAGAATCCTAGATAATTAATCTGAACTAATCAGAAAAGGGGCAGAGCAGTTTTTATGCAAGAAGCCAAAGTTTAAATTCACAGCAGTGTACCCTCGGGAAAGACTAAGACCCCATTCTAGTATGGCTCCCACCCTCTCTTCCCCAAACCACAAAGCAGTAACTGAACACTGTATTTCACTGACACACCCCCACCCCTCCAGCACAACAGGGCCCCATCAAGTGTCCCACCACCAGCAAGAACCTGCAAGCCCTGGAAATTGAAAGAGGAGAGGAAAAGCATGCAAAATGGAGATCTATGTCTGTCCTTCCCTTTTTTCTTCTTCTTCCTCTTCCGAGATGCAGAACAGCCCGCCCAAAGGAGTGTGAAGCATTTCTGGCCCATCCCACTGGCTCTCAGCCAGAGGACACGCCAAGTCACACAGCCCTGCCTGCAGTCACACATTGTCAGCCATAACCACCAGCTCCAGGCAGACAAGAACAGGATCCTCTAATCAGTTGCAAGCCCAGTAACAGCTTAAGACAGCTCCAGAGCCAGGGAGCAGCTTTGCCAAGAACAAGCTCCCAAAGGATGGAGCAGAACCTGGAAGGATTGTGCTGACTTTTGGAGGAGAAGAACAAGCTTTTGGGAGGTGTGTTTGGGGACACTTTCAGGGTACAGTAGAGGTCTGCAAACCTGCTTGCGAGGTTCCATTCTCATGACCAAACAGAATCTCCTAAGTCTCACCCAGGGGATCACCAAGCCATGTTGGAAGAAGGCAACTGCCCCCTACATCATTCTTGATGGCTGTCACCCCAGGATCACCTTTTAAATCTTCCCCTCCTACGACACCACACAAGGTAGCCTGCTACAGATTCAGCACAGCTTCTTCACTCAAGGGAGTACCAACTTTTAGTTAACTGCGGGCAACTCTGCCATAGCTCTATGATTTCCAAGCTGTTGGCCAGTGGATATATATAGCACAGGCATTTTCAGTCCAGCTGTCCAACTATCAAAGAGTCATTAAGTCTGGAAAAGACCTCTGGGACCATCAGGTCCAAACATAACTCACTCCCACCATCCCCACTGCCCACATCCCTCAGTGCCACACCTCCATGGTTCTGGAACACCTCCAGGGACAGTAACCCCCACCACCCTCCTGGACAGCCTGTGCTTATTTATGGTCCAGAAGCCTTTTTTGAAGAGTCATCTTTGGCTTGAAGCAGGCCTGCACTGCAGCTCTTTGAGCATGATCCTTACAACCTATTATTAAAAAAAATAATAATCCAATTTACAACACAAAAATACCAATGCCACCCAACTACATTAAAGCAGTTTGCTGTTTAATAGCATAAAGATGAAAGGGAGCCAGTTCTGACAGATGCACCATCAGAAATTGTTAGCCACAATATAAACCATTTGTAAACAGCATTATTGCCAGCAAGACAGAGACAGTCTCAGGATGTCTCCAACACTACAACAGCTTTTTTGGGGCTGCAGTGCAGAAGCTCAGCTTCACAGCATGACAGTAGCATTAGGACCACAAAAAGAAAAAGCCAAGCTGAGGACAAGGAGCAGCCAAAGGATGGAAAAGTGATGGCTATGATGTTGTATGCCTGCACACCAGCAAAGCAGAGGGCTCAGAAGATGGGTTATGGACACAACAAGCAGGGAGACAAAGCACACAGTGATGCAAGTCCTCCTGTTCCTCCATGCTGATGGACACACACCCAGTTTGCAGCTCTCCCTTGAGATAGCATCCACGCACTGGCCACAAATAAACATGAGCTAAAAGATGACAACAGAAATTGCCTGCTAAGTCAAAATAATTTTTAAAGAAGCTAAGAATAGTAAGGATGGGTCTTTTTTTTTTCGTGTTCTTTGTACTTCCTTCCTTATTATATTTCTAACTAAGAACATCCAAGGATTTGTATGCTTGGCCACGCTACCATGCTGGAGCAGAGCACTGGAAAATAGCCTACAGGAAGATGTGTCCTGAACTGTGGCAGGTGGAGCTCTGAATACAGAATCACTGTGGATGGAAAAAACCTCTAAGAACACCTAGTCTAACCATCCATTGATTCCCAGTGTTGCCTACTATATCATTCAGTGTCACAGCTCCCCATTTCTTGAACACCCCCAGAGATGGTGACCCCACCACTCCCCTGGGCTGCCTATGCCAATTCATCACCACCCAGAGAAGAAATGTTTCCCAATATCCAGCCTGAAGAACTAACCAAAGCTCATTCTGCAGCACTGCTACACTTCCTATCTATATTTGCTTCCCTTCTGGGCTGCTGCTCTGTTCTCACCAGTACAAAGAAAACCAAGTCTAAACAGCACATCCATAGCAAATGGGCTCACGAAGAGGTGAGCAAAACACCCAGGCATAAAAGTACCCCACCAAGCAGGTCACCATCCACAGTGCATGGACAAGAAGAGCAGAACAGATCCACTGAAGGCACCCAAAGTACTTCAAACAGGCACCCAACCTGAGGACATAGACTTAAATGCATTTCCCCAGCTGGGAGGGGGATCCCAGCACTGCTTCTCCCATCTGTTTCCCACCCCCTGCCCTTCCCCACCAGTTGTGCCTGGGTTACAGCTGCAGCACATCAGAGCCAGCATGGAGCATATGGCTGCAGAGCCCAGCACCCTGCAGTGCCAGAAAGCAGGAATACTGCCCTTCATGTTGTAGCATTTATTTGCAGGTTGTCTTTCCATAATACATAATGGACGAATGCATACAGTCACATATCAGAATCTGATCCCAAATTCCCAGACATTGCCCTGGGAAACTTTGACCATGGTTTATGGGAGGCTTCAGCTCTGCTTTCTCAAGGGGGGTCTGTGGTTTGAGGGTTTTTTTGTTGGTTTTTTTTTCCCCAAGGCTTTGTTATATGAGCCTGGGGTTTTGCCAGCAGTGAAGGATGTATTAGATGCAAGCATGTGGTTTTGTCAATGGAGTTTTCTCTTTGTGAAATGAAACAATGCCAATTTGACCTTTTTTTTTTAATTTTTTTGCCAAATTGACTTTTTTAGTAGAAAGTCACATTTGAATTGATGTTAAAGTGTGCAAGAAATTTTTTTTTTTGTTAGGCCCTGCAAATCAAATGGATGTGATTTTGTTTCTATTTGCCTCAGTGCCATTTGTTGCTCTTGGAGTCTTTATTTCTGGCTAATTTAAACACATGCTGGCTATATTTCACCTCAATTCTTGAACAAAAGATAAGGTGGGCAGCTTCATCTCTCTTCCTCCATTCAGGTGCACGACAATTGTAGAAGAAGAGCTGATGTGATCTTTGGAATGTGTGGCCATGCCAGAAGAGACAGGAGTGTTTGTTATGGAGGCTGTTGCTTGCAAACATCACTGCAATGGTTGTGACCCACTTGTGTTAGCAGCATTGCCTCGGGATCTGAGTGCCCATTATCTGCAACACAACTCTTCCTCACTTCCTGCACTCGTGCCCTCCTCAATACAGCTCATTTTGCCTTCCATACAGGCAATAATTAGAAAGTTGGAGGTTTAAAGGCATGCTTGGTTTGGTTGTTATTTGGGGCAGCACTTGGATGAAGCATCCTGGACCTTGGGAGGCAATATGTTCTCAGCAGGAATTGGGTGATTTCCAACACCCTTCCTGGTACCACGAGGAAGTTTTACTCTTCTCAGGTTTCCCCTTCCCTTGCTGTTTTTCTTAGGTCACAAGTTTTAAAGGGGCTGTAGGTGGCCTCAAGCCACGAACCACAAGCAGCTTTCCTTACATGTGTGCTTTGTAACGGCCCCCCAGAGGCTGCAAGAGAAGATCAATGAAAAGCCCACAACCAGTAATGGTGTCACAGCATTGCCCTCTTTGTGTTTTATTTTGTAACCATGACATCATGTTTGTAGCAAAAATGGACCTCTGTATGCCGTTCACTTCGGTAACACAACGAAGGTGGTTCCAGTTGTAAAAGTAAATAATAAATAACAAAACAGCTCAAATAGCCCCATGAATGCAGCTGGGACCCACCAGACTCAGAGGTAGAAGCGGGAAGAGGACTCAGAGAAACATCCTTAAACTGGTCCTTGGGGTTCCTCAGCTGCAGACCGGCCAGGGCAACACCAGACCCAACTGTAAACCAAACTGTAAACACAGCTTTTACCTCCTAAGTGATTTAAAAATAAGTTTTCAACACTCAAAGTGCCCTTCTGCTCTGCTATTCTCTGCCTAGAACAAGCTGCTAGCCCATGTGCCGAGGTGCCGGCCACAGAGCTCTATTTAAGGGCAAAAAAAGGGAAATGGCACGAACTGCAAAGCATCCTTTTATGGCCATCAATGGTCCTCCATGCTCCCAGGAACCTCAGACCCAGTTCGGTGCAGCTCTCCCTGCTGCTATTTGCGTACCTTGCTCCACAGATGCATTACAAAGCTATTTTTCTCCCTTGCAGTTATTATACAGAAGCCGTGGGAGGCATGCTAAGTGCTGCAATACCCAAAATAAATTAATTTACAAGCTCCTCCAAGCAAGGGATGTGCGCATGCTTTGAGCAGTGCTCTTCTCATAAATATATCATAACAATAGCCACAAAATAAATAATAACAATAACAAAAATGCCTGTGGCCTAAGTTCAGGTGCAGCCTGCAGGCCACAAAGCTTAAGGAAAGGATAGAAAAGTCATTGCTAAGGCCGTGCTGCTCCCTGGCCCACCGCTCTTCTTGCTGAAACATGGATGGCTTCAACCCTGTGCAGCCCAACAACGGGACCACCGGCAGTGGGGTGGGAAGGCCTCTCCGTAGGGCAGCCTCAGTGGGAGCACTGAAGGTCCTGGGCGTCCTGCTGGAAGGCTGGGATTTCAGCCAAAAATCCACCACCAGGCCCTCGGTGCCCATCCGGAGCGGGTTTGGTGCTGGGCATGGGTCAGGTGTGCAAGCGCTTGTTGATGCTGCGGCTGGCAGCCTGCTTGGTCATGTCCTGGTAGGAGGCTGACTTCAGGAAGCGGGGGTAGGAGTCCTTCTCCATCAGGGTGCGGGTCTTTGCCTGAGCCTCGTTGAAGCAAGCGGAGGTGGCTCCTGTGAGGTTCTTCCTGGTGATCTCCCTGGTTTCGTGGTCAATGTTAACCTGCGAGGAAGGAGTGCCCATAAATGTTAGCTTAGTGCTGGCCAGTGTGGGGAGAGGAGCAGGCTTCTCCTAATGAGGATGAAGACACAGGGTCATAGAATCATTATGGTTGGAAAGACCTCTATGATCATCAAGACCCACCATCAACCCGTGCCTCTGACTGCTCAGACCGTGTCACTCAGTGTAACAACTACCCTTCCTTTGCACACCTCCAGGGATGGTGACTCCACCACCTCTCTGGGCAGCCTGTGCCAATGCTTCACCATTCCTTCTGAGAAGAAACTTTTCCTCGTATGAAACTCGCAGGCTTTTACACCTGACCAAAATGACCTTCATTTTGGGTCACCACATGAGATTGGAAAGCTCAGGTGAATGAGGCCAAACCTTCCCACTGAGCTGAAACAGCATCTACCAAAACCCATTGGATATTTTAGGATGTTTTATCCATTCCCCTTCCCATCCAGTGCCACACAGCAGAGACAGGGTCAGCTCTCACCTCTCTGGGTGCCTCGCTTTGGACAAACTCCTCAAAGATCCTGTTGGCTTTGGAGGCCAGCTTGGTTTTGGAGCGGGTCTTCTTGAAGTCCTCGCAGGCCAGCCAGAAGTCCAGGTTCTCCTCGCTAAACTCAGTCTTCAGGAAGGTGTGGAAGGCAGTCACCCCATCTGCAACAGAGGGACAGGCAGTGAGTGGAGTTGGAGGGGAAGAAGACATCAGGACCCCATCACTGGGAAGTGATGGGGCTGCTGGATGTGGCATTGCCCACCATCTCCCTGGGAGACCATACCACAGGATCTGTGGATTTCCTTTCCCTCTGGACAAACTCCAGCCTCTGAACCTCTGCTAATTGGCCTTAAGGCTCCAATAAAATCCTTTCCCACAGACAAATAATCCTCCAGTTTTATTTATCTGACCTTTCTGTAATGAGTCTTTAGAGTGGTTTCTTTACAGTTTCGGAAAAGAGCTAATTCTACGAAGGGAAAATCTGCTGAGATATGAGTATGCCTGCGGGAATCAAGGAGAGATGGCTTTATTTTTATTTCTCAGCTGGGATTTAGGGGAATGAGATGCTGAGGAGTATGGGAGAAGCGCCTGCAGCAGGGAACCAGGCTTGGGGGAATGTATTTATTGAGTAACGATAAGTAACAAAGCTGCTAACCTTCACAGCACATGACGAAGGCTGGAAAAAGATGCCTGGCCCTAGACTAGCACTGTGGAAGGACTGTCTGTTGCCATGGAATAAATTCAAGCAGACAAATACTTTTGTGTTCATATTTGGTCTCCTTGCTGGCCCTACGGGTACAATGCCTTACATGAACTGTATAAACTGCCATGAATTTTGGAGAGGAAAATGGAGGTGTGCATCTCAGCACAGCGGTTGAACGCCTTCTCTCCGTGTAAGAGCCATAGGAGAGGTATAGGATGGGCAGACAGAGGACAGCAATGTTTTCCAAAGCAATAAAATCCTGCGTGAAAGCAATTACATGGGCAGCAGACATGAGCCCAGAGAATGTAATGGAAAGGTACATGCCACCTCTCAGCATGCCTGCGGCATTGCTCCTGGCCCACAAAGCTGTGAGACAGCACTTCTGCCCCCCAAAAACATCCAGCCAGAAGGGAAGGGTAAAGCCACAGGGACCTGGCTGCACACTGAGCATGGGGGCATCTTCCGAGTTTCTACAGCAGCTAACTGAGGAGGAGATCTGGCTCCAGGATACATCCTACATGCTCTTATAAAGAGGAAAAAACAAAATCTGACTCACTTTTACTCTTGAGGAGCTGGTCAAAGGATTCCCTCCACTCAAGCACTTCTCGTGAGGAGTCTCTGCAAAAAAAGAAACAAAAAACAACAGGACATGAGGCTTGCCATCTTGCCAGCAAAAGATGGGAGCACTTCATTAAAGCAGTTCACGATGAGACAGCACAAGAAGAGAAGCAGCAGCACCAGCAGAAAGCCACAGTGAGACCCCAGTATCCTTTACCTGTGAGCCCTCTTTCCTTTCTCTTTTCCTCTTTCTTTTACATTCCCCGATGGCTCACCAGACCTCAGCTCCATAGTGCAGCTTTGGCTGGGCAGTCTCCTCTAGAGGATGCTCAGTAGAGCCCTTTTCCCCAGTAGCAGCCCAGCAGAGCCCCCTCTGCATGCAGGTGCCTGGCTAACAGCCGCAAGGTTCAGTATTTTGTTTTTAATGCTGTATGCATTCCCTGGGAGACTCAGGCACAGGTTTGAGGTACCAGCACCTGTGGGAGCCTTCTGGCTTTCCAACTTGATGCAAAGCCCCCACTCTGCCTATTGCCGGTGCATCCCTCTCCAACCCGACTTTATAACTGGTGGAGCTGGGACGTGGCAGGCAGTGGGGCGGGACCGCCAGGACGAGCAGAACCGCATCCTCCCCGCCAAGCAGAGCATCCCCAGGGACAGCCCAGTCCAAGGGGACCTGCAGCCTCAGCTTACCTCCGCCTGGAGCCCAGCTGCAGCTTGCCTGCTGCCCCGTTGCCGTGTCTCAGCTCCGGTTTATGCAGCAGGATCCCCAAGCGGGTCTTGAGTTCCTTGGCTCTGGAAGGGAGGAAGTGGAGAGGTTGGAATGTGGGGATCGCCACCACCATCCCTGTTTGCAATCCCATGTTTGCAGGGGTAGCTCTCTCTCCTCCTTTCTTGCTTTCTGCTGCATACAACAAGCAGTCCCCTAATGGCTTTTTCTGCTCCCTGGCAACCGTGCTCTGCAGCGAGCTGGAAAAATCACAGCACTCGCCTTCTGCTCAGCAGAGAGGGAGCATCTCCATGCTGTGCTGTCACAGCTGCTCCCCTGCTTTTTGGGGGTGCCACAGAGATGCCGCTGTCACCTACCCCATGCCTCGGGGACTTGGACAGCACAAGGGCAGCTGTGCCAACTCAGAGCCAGATGAGTCCCCACCGGGTGTCCTGCAGCAACAGGGCAGGAGCTGCTGCTAAATCCACTCCTCTCCCTTGGGTCCTCTGGCAGCGCGCAGCCCTGCTGCTATTTGTGTCCTGCAGCTCCTGCTGGCATCCCAGAGCGCCCGTGCAAAAATAAGTGCTTAAATGTCAGGGCACCAGCATTGCACGGCTTCGTAGCCATGTTTGGCAGGATGTCACCGAGTGCTGTGAGCGCCTCAATTAAAGCAGTGCTGCTGCCTACCTGTGCTGAGATGGAGACGGCAGAATAAACATCGTATGTGCACACGGCAAGGTGTGGGGCAGCCTATGTGTTTTAGCTCTACATCCCTCCCTGGGAACCACAACAAATCCTGCAGCTGTCCCTAGCTGTGAGTTCAGTGCAATCTGCACCCTGATTTCTATCAAGACATCAGCAGAGGCTGATCCAACGTCAGGAGCATCTTTTCCAGCTAACCCTCTGCTTCCCAGCGCTGTGGCGTGGCAAAGCCCCTTACCTCTCCAGGCAAACGATAGGAAGCGCAGCCAATCGTCGGCACATGCTGAGAGCTGGGCACCGAGGCATCCAGCAACTCATTGAATCCTCTGAGCACCACCTGTACTTCTGCGTTGCGTGCTGCTGGCTGGAATAGCGTCGAGGAGCTGTGCTTATATGGGGCGGGAGGGCTGGGAGGGTACCCGGCTCCACTCCAGCCTCCAGCCAACCAACAGCTGCTCGGCACCAGCAGAGATGATAACCGCTTGGGTAGGTGCAAAGGGAGGGGGAGGGAGGCTCGTCCTTGAACTTCACAGTCAGCACTGCTTCCTCGATAAGTGGAAAAAACAGGCTTGCGTCCACCGACGTGTGCAGCCTGCTGAGTAACCGTGGGGACGGTGAAGGGGACAAGCAATTAGTCAGCACCATCCCACCGGCTGATGACTCCAAACCCTCATCCCCGCACGGTGAAGGCTGGCGTGGTGGCATCACTGCAGCAGGAACACAGGGATCAGCACACCTTGCTGACCCCATGGCAGCCCCCCGGCACCACGCTGCTGTGCAGAGCAGAGCTTTGCGACATTTTGGCACTACTCAAAGAGCATCACGGCCAAGTTCAAGGCTGGTTAAATGAGGGCTGATGTCTGCCCGTGTCTCTTCATCGCAGATTGTCTGGGAGAAGGGGAGGGAAAGAGCACAGATGAAAGACTGAACGTAGCATGGGGAAACACCTGGTAAAGGGGCATCCCAATGGGAACTGAAGATGGAAAGAGTAGAGCTGAAACTCTACTGAAACTAAGACACAGAAACAGACAAGAAGATGGGAACTGAATGGATACTCCTCATCCTCTCCTTTCTCCACGCTTCTCCCATTAGCACCAACTCAGCAGCCAGCAGAGGCATCTTTCATGAATCCAAGCTGCCTCCTGCCTTGCTGCCCCATTGCCAGCATCAATCCAACATAGTAATGGCCAGAGCTCACAGGAGAAAATCTGACCATGGCAGCAGACTTGGAATTAGATGATCTTTGGGGTCCCTTCCAATCTAAGCCATTCTATGATCCTTGTTTCCTTTCCAACTCAGGATGTTCTGTGGTTCTATGATCACTGGCCCTGACGTTCCAGCCGTCACGTTGCTCCAGCCCCTTCCTCCCCACTGCTTTTCCTCATAGAAATAAGGTGTAGACATACCTTGTCCCCTCTAGCATCTTTTGAATGCTCAGGTGAGAGAAGGCTGATGGAAGTCAGATGTTAGGAAAAGGCTGCAATGGGAGCCTGGGCTTTTCAAGCCCCACAGGAGGAAGAGAACCTTTATAAAACCTCAGCAGGAGGGAAATCATAGAACCATCAGGGTTGGAAAAAATATCCAAGATTACCAAGTCCAACCTTCAGCCTGACCTATAGAGGCCCACCACTAGCCCTTGTCCATTAGTATCACATCCACACATGTCTTCAATACCCCAGGGATGGGGGACTCCCCCTCTTCCCTGGGCAGCCTGCTCCAAGGCTTGGCCACCCTTTCCAGGAAGAAATTCTTCCCGAAATCCAACCTAAACCTAAAATCAAGAGCCAGCCGGAGGCTGCATCTTCTTGGGCAGCAAGGCTGCTCAGCCAGAAGATGCACAAAGCCATGGAAAATTATACCTGAGCCCCTGCCCTGCTGCCTCGGGGCAGGTTTTGAACTTTCCCCTTCAGTGGGTGAGCTCCAGCGTGGGAGATGGTCCGTGCTACATTTTCTAATGCACAGCTCCTCATTAGGGTTATGCAATAACTTCTGAGCCCAACTACGTGTGTGTACTCAGATGTCTTCATTCTGTTCAATATCTAATTTAATTATGTGCTTCCTGTCTCATTTAGCCTAGCAGCCTCCTGCAGCTCCAGTCCTTGTCCAGCTCTGTGTTATCAGCCCTTGTTTTGGAACACAAAAACCCAGCTGTGTTGCAATGCCCGGGGCTGGGCTGCTTTCCCATCAACATGCTGCAACACTGGCAGCATGAAGCCCACCACCCGTGGAACCAGCATGGCCCCTCACATCACCAGCAAGGTCCCAGCATCCAGCCCTGCTGATAAGAACCTCCCCGTTGCTATTTCCCTATAGGTATTTTTGCTGGAAGAGACGTGGAAGAAGGAAGAGGAGCCACGGTAAATAGGGAACAGATGTTGGGCGTGGAGAATGGGAGCAGAAGGGAAGGAGCTGAGGGATGCGAGCAGAGGAGGAAATGCAAAGTCATGTGGCTTGGTGGAATGGGAAGGGTACAGAAAAGGATGGGAGGTAAGGGGAGAAGGGGAGGAAGAGCTTATGCATGTGTGCACAATTGTGGGTCTCCATAGGTCAGGCTGAAGCCTGAACTTGGTAATCTTGGATATCTTTTCCAACCCTGATGGTTCTATGGTTTCCTTCCTGCTGAGGTTTTATAAATGTTCTCTTCCTCTTGTGGGGCTTGCATGGCACCAGCCTGTCCCGGTCATCACAGGAGGGTGATGCTGATTCACCTGACTCCTTTCCAACAGACTGGGAGCAGCAGCAGTCGTGATGGTTAATATCTGAAGGCCGTGCCCCGAGGGCTATGTCTGCACAGAGTGGTGTTGGATGGATTACCAGCCAAAAAAAAAAGCACTCTGTCCTCACACACAGCATTGGAGGGAATCATTGCTCTGGAAATTCATAGCAGCATGGAAAGGGATGACTGAAAGACAGAAAAAAAAATCATTAAAAATTAGAATTACAAATGGGGCTTTCAAGGGGCAGCTGTTACCCACTCTGCCCCTGCACTCGCTTTGTGCAGCACGCAAGCACAGCTGTGTAGGGAGAGGTATCTGACAGCAGGTATTTTTAATCTTCCCTTTCCAATCCCAGCACCTGCTCTGTAAAGACACTGAACAGCAAGGGAAAAAAAAATGAAAAAAAAACCAACAAAGGCAGCAGCTAAATATATCCTAACGGAGAGCAGAGACAGAGCGGCACTAATGGCAGATTCTCCCCTTGGATGCATGCAAATCAGTTTGGCTCAGGGAGAGGCTTAGAGGGAAAGGAGCTGCAGATGAAAAGAGAAAACAATGAAAGAAGATCATTAGGGTCAACAAAGTGGGGATAGGAAGAGAACAGAGGGGGTGATAAATTGCACTGCAGCAATTCCTGTAGAAAAACAAGCTTGCTGAGGCTTTCTTTTTGAATGAGGCTGCAGCCCTGCATGGGCCATGTAACTAACACTCACCTGTGGGCAGGGAGGGATATCAGGAAACATTTATTCTCTCAAAGAGCAGTGATGGAATGGCACAGCTGCCCATGGAGTGGAGGGATCAACATCCCTTGAGGTGTCACAGAACCATGGAGATGTGGCACTGAGGAACGTGGTCAATGAGGGGCATGGGGTGGGGGGTCCCCAAGGATCCCCCAAGGTCTTCTCCAACCTAAATGACTCCATGCTTCTGCATTCCTTCCCAATGGCCATAAGGCAGCGTGACCTGTAGGACAGCAGGATGCATCCAACCTGACAGGTAGTTCTCAGGCTGTTTATTTCACATCCTCATGATGTCCATATAGTAAAGGTGAACAATGCATCACAGTGCAGTGATGTGGCTCAGTGGGGATGTGGTCTGTTCAGACAGCTGACGGGGTGAGGAGTTCCTCCAGCTAATGAAGGAGGTGACCCTAGAAGCTAATAAGCAATTGATAGATAGGGAAGGCCCAACTGAACCCAAGCCCACACGTTCCCCATAGGGAAGGAATCAGGCTGAACCCCCATGTCCTGCCCGAGCAGCTCCATCACCCAGTGGCACCACAGCTCCCAGACACAGAGGAGACAGTTACAGCATCAGGACTTATTCAAATAAAAACATTGCTCTTTTCGTTGTACCTGAAAAGAGTTTTTCTGCCCTATTCTGAAGTCACCCCATACATTCATTCCCCTCCACATCTCCTCTGAGCCACACGCAGTGATGCCTCCACACACCTTACACCACTCCTTGCTTGGTGATGGGGTCAGGTCCTTGAGGCTGTCATCCCAAAGAAGATGGAACTTAAGGAGAAGTCTGAACTCTGAGTGTCTGATGGGTTTTTCTTGTAGAGAGATGGGAAGATATGCTTCAGTCGTGGTAATTAAGAGAAAGGGACCCACCCCAGGGAGAGCTTTTTAATTACCAGCATCCCACAGAGGGCTGCATAAACAACACAAAATGCCACCTTCCCCCCATTACTTTTCAGCTGGGCACTGGTAGAGAAGCATAAAAACATTTCTTCCAGGGCAGCACTACTAACTGCACTCTGAGTGCAAAGCTGATCAGCTCCAGATCTGCTGTGCTGCAGGTTCAGTATCAGCAATGGGCTGCAGGAGGCACCGGGTGCTCCAGAAGCAGGCACTGCCTGGTTTCCTGTGCCCTTTTGCCAGCAAAGCTCTGTTTTTTCTGCATTAAGTTCATCCCTTCTGCCACCTCCCTCCCATCCACTTATTTCCCTGAACTCCCACTGAATTTACTGGAGCATCAAACCAGAGAAGCATCCTTCCAGTAAAGCCAAAAGGAAGCACAGAGCAGAACAACCGAGTTCACTGAGCAAATACACCTTTATTTACACTCTGTTTTGTTTAATCAGGAAGCTCAGAGGAAACAGCTGCAGCCATGCTGGAGCAGCCCAGCAGCGAGCACCAAGTGCAGCCCAGCTCCGTCTCACCCAGCAGCACGTGGAGCACGAGTGGGCACACAGCATGGCACAGGGATGAGAAAAGCCCAGGGGGTGCACAGATGGGAAAAGCTTTCTGGTCTAGCAGCAACACGTGGGTTCGTTCCAACTCTAGGATCAAAATGCTTCGATGCCAGAGATACACCGCACTGAGACATGAGAAAACTGCAGCAGCCCCAGGGATGAAAGATGATGCGTAAATGATGGGGAGCATTTTCTTCTTATATAATGCGCAAGGAACAGCTACTCGGAGCTCTGTAGGTGTGTAGGCAAGACAAGCATCCAGTGAAGGAAAGGAAAAATGGACACGGGTACAGAGGGTATGCAAACAAGAGGCAGTGTGACCCAGGCTTGTGCTGGTGGAGGGGAAGGGCATGGACAGGAGTGCTTCAGGTGAGGGTGAGGAAGAGGAGGGATGGCCACAGGGACAGGACTGAGAACCAGAGAGGGGCTTGGGGGAGAAGCTGGAGGCCCACAGGGGAGAGTCGCAGTGACGAGCTAGAGGCACTCCAGGGCTGGCATGAGGTATGCTTTGCTATTGCTCTGAATGCTGTAAACATTTTGGTTTTGTGTCTATCGGTGAACATTCAGTTCAGTTTGATACAGGTGCTCTTATGGGTAACTGGAAGCCTAGCAGAGTTTACATCTCCTATTACTAGTCAAACCTACACAAGAGGAAAACACAACACCACTAAAATCTCACTGTCTGTTGTTTATGCCTAATTCTCCTATTTTATCATGCAGATTTATGTCTCAGAAAAGCTTCTCTAAAAGGAGACACAAGGTAACACAGACACAAATTGACATGCACTCTCACCCACCTACACCCCCATTTCCCTCCTGTGCTTAACTCATGGGACTTTGCCCTTCACGCTCTCACAGCGTGGAGAGCAGGGACCCATCAGAGCACTGACACGTAAAATGGATGGAAGTAATCCCCAGCCTGGCTGGCAGCCACAGCAGGAGAAAGGAAATTGGAGCAGATTTGGGTTTCTGCATCCCCACCTGGATTTTGGGTCTGCAATCTATAAAGTGAGGAAAGGCCATTTGTAAACCCTTCCTTTGCTGCCAAAGGACTTGAGGGGCTGCCTGCATACACACCAGCACAAGCAGAGTCAACAGAGCTGACTTGACTGGCACTGTTTTTTTTTCCCTTCCTTTCATGTGATGGCACTCTGACATGACTTGAAACAGGACCGAGTTTTTGGAGGTGTGTGCCTATGGAGAGGGAAAAGGGGGTTTGTGAGATGTGAATATTCCTTTCACTTCAGTGGGAGACAAATCAAAGGTAGGATATTTGTCCTCGGTGAGGCTTAGTCATCATTCAGTGCTTTTCAAGGCTTTGGCTCTGTCACTATTTCCTTAATCAGCCCCTGGTTTAAGAGGAAGAGATATAAGTTGCCTATTTTAATTCACTTCAGACTGACATTTGGCATAAAAGCAGCAGCTGGTGCCAATTGCTTATTAAAAAGAAGGAAAGAAATTTACTTTAAATAACCAGGCTGCTTTCCTGCAAGAGAGACAAATTGTAAGAGCAGCAGCAAAAATAACCATGCCAGGCTCAAACACCTCAGAGAATACCTTTGCTTCACTGTACACCCTGGGACATTTCCTTTTGAGATGCTATCTGGCACCAGGTAAAGGGGAAAAACTCCCTACATCATCAGGGATACAAATCCCATCACTTGCTGCAGCAAGGCTATCACAAAATGCCTGCTTAGAGCACTTCCCCAGATGGATGGGAGAAGGAGAACAGCTGGGGTTTCACAGGGTTTGGGCCGCTTTGAAGCTTTCTGGCACATGCTGGTGAGGATGCCAGCCCCAAGTCTGAAGGAGCACGCAGAGAGATGCTGCTCTGCCAGCAAGCCTGGGCACTGACCTCACTTCTGAGCTTTTTGCCCTCATTCCTAGATAGAAACTTATGGTTCTGCTGGTTCCTCCCCATCTGGCTGTCTGTGACAACGGCAGCAATGGGCACTTGGCTGAAAATCTGGCTGGCACTAGAGGTCAGCATCAGCAAAGCCCACTCGGAGGTGTACCAGCTTTAGGAGAAGCAATAGCAGGCAGCTCACCTCACCTCCTCCTGCCACATTCAGGGTACCTGGCACTAATCATCCTTATCATGATCTGCACCTATCTGTCCCTACAAAACCCCTCAACACCTCTTTACTACCTATTGTACATACTGTTGACTTCTAGCATCCAAGCAGACTCTGTGCATCTAACTCCAAGCATGATGTATAGCTTCAGAATTTAGTCTACCCAGCTTACACCACATTACATTTAAACCTTGATCATCTGAAGCATCAGACCTACCTACCACCCTAAACTAGAATGGAGCTTTACAGCCTCTGATAAACGACAGAAGGGAAAGATGCATGAGGTTACCATCCAGACCTTCATAAAACCAAGAAAACAGACCTCTGGTCTGCAGGCTTAAGTCCACAGACAGGCTGTCGATCTGCTTCCCCTCCAGACAACACTGCAGGAATGTGACAGCTGATAAGCTGGGAAAGCAAAGCCATGTAGGCAGTCAGCATCTCTGCACAGCACAGAGGTGTGGTTACACAACCGACATCTGCAGAGCCTCCTGCAGCTGTGATCTGGGCCATGGAGCAGGGCCAAAACACACCTTGCACACCACTTTGAGCCCGCACGGCCGTCCTGCTCACCGTTTGTATGCAAGCTTCATGCAGCAGAATCTGCATCTTTATGATTTCTTTGCATTGCATCGAGCCCACAGTGGACATTCAGTAGGTAACAACAACAGTCAAGAGCAAAAATAAGATTGTGGTTTTCATGTCACCTCTCCCTGCCACGAGCTTGGTCAAGTACTACCATGAGAAATGATATCTGGCATGGTAGAGGGGTCTTGTGCTTCTCTTACACCTCAGTATGGGGCAGATGGGATATCCCTTCTTCCTACCCTTTCCCAAAAGCTGGTAGAAGAAGCCACCAAGGCCATGTATGTCCCTGGTGCTCTTTGTGCTGGGTTCTGGTATGGTGCCTAGCACAACGGAGCCTGAACGGCGACAGGAGTCCTGAGGCTGAACTACAGTACAAACAAATAATAGCAATGAAAAGCAATCATTTGCCTTAGAGGACTGGGTCTAGCAGGAGCTTTTGGGATAACCTTCCTCTGCTCCTTGGCAGCAGCATGAAGACAACACTCAGCCTCCATCCCATGAAGATAAGCATACGAGGGGTCTGGAGTGGATGTTGTATCACAGAGTGTGCAAGCACAACGGGAAGGGTGCTGAGTTTGCTGATGGTTTCCACCCTGGGAAGCAGCACGACTCATGTGCCATTGTCTTCTGTCTCCCTCCCCACAGCCTCAGTCCCCACGACCAGAGAGGATAGCATCATGTGCAACAGCCGCAAGGTGCTACTGCTAACCAAAAAAAAGCACAGAAACTCAAAAAGTCTTGACACCATGTCAGGGTCACACTTCGGAAGACTCCCCTTCCCTTCCTCCCTCCTCTCTCATTCCCACTGCCTTTAACCCCATGGAACACTTAGAGATGGGTTGTTGCTGTTGTGGGAAGCACACGGGTTCCGTTGCTGTTCTAGCTGAGCCTCCTCTGGGTTTGAGACAGCAGGTCTGTGTAGATTTTGGATCTCAGGAACCTGGGGTATGAGTCTTTTTCCATCAGGCTGTGCACTTTTCCCTGGGCTTGGTCAAAGCAAGAAAGGGAGGGCTCCTGCATGTTCCTTCTTGTCAGCTCCCGTGTCTGGAAGTCAATGTTCACCTGGGAAAAGCAACAGAAGAGTTTTGGGTGCTGCTAAAAAAACTCATGTTTTGTCTCAGCAGCAGAGCAACCAAGCAGAACAACCAAGCACTTATTCTTGAACAAGTCTCAACAGCCCCCCAAACTCTGTGGGCTTAGCCACCCAGAGTTACAAATCCTGCCCCAAACTTGGAATAGTTGAAGAAGATACATACTGACCTAAGTGTTTCTGACCTCAAGTTGCTTTTATTCAGTCTCTTAATGAGTTTACATAGCAAATATCCTACGAATGCCTGCTCAGTCTAACATACATATCTCCTGCTGCCCAAGAATTCTCTATTCCCTCTTTTTCCTCACATGCCCAATAGGATGGAGAGTGAACTTTTAGCTGGGTTTAATCTATCAGCATACTCTTATTCAGCTATGTTGTTATAAAATAAATTGTTTGAATTTTCCCATAACAGCGTGATATTACAATGCCTTGAAATGGGACTTTAAAAAATAAACAGCCCTTGTGTTATGACTGCAGTGTGTTTGTGAAGCCAACAACAAGAGCTTTCCTGTTTTCTTTTGCTAGCAAGCCGTCAGCATTTCTTAGGGTTAGTATTGAAAACCTGGCTGCTAAGATGTTATTTGTCATTATTAACAAGCGCCCAGACTAAAAGCTGTCTCAAAAGTAAAGCTGCCTGCTGTAACCCTGATGGCAGCAGAACAGATCAGCTCCCTCTGCCACTTGAGAGTCACTAGCAAGCCAGAATTATGACAAAAGGACTCGATTTTAGGAAGGACCTCATCCAACCTGCACTCACGTTTCTAACCCAGAAACAGCCCTGCAGAACTGTGGATCTCCCAGCAGGAAGATGCTCACTGAGGGCACTGCACCCTGAGATGTCCACACCACCTGGTGCCATCGGTGGCCTTGCAATGGCCTTGTCAGTGCACAGATGGGGTTGTGAGAGCCTTCTTAGGATGAGCCCTGCCCCATCCCTGGAGATCCCCCAGGCCGTGGATGGGCCCTCGGCAGCCTGACCTGGTGGGCAGCCAGCCCATGGCAGGGGTTTGAACTGAATGACCTTTAAAGCCGTTCTGTGATTCTCTGATCCCTTGCAGCACCCGTATGATGACAAGCACACATGCAAGAAGACTGCTGTGGGAGAGCAGTGCTGCAAGCACTGCATTATGAATACAGTACCACAAAGCAACATCACGACACAGGATCTGACAGCCGCATCAGCCTGTCAGTACATTGAAGAGTGCTGAACAATGCCAGGCTTCAGGTGGTGACTGCACTTTTTGTTCAGCTCTGAGCTCCTGCTCGCATCTTTTCAGGAGGTCTAATTGAATTTGGTGTTAGTCAGCAGATAAACACTCTTCCCCGGAGAGTCAACAAGTTAGTCATTGGTGGGATGCTTCTAGACACAATGTCCTGTGAGGAGTGAGCCCAACTGCCTGCCTGGGGAGCAGTAGTAAAGTTGGTGGGGAGGATCTCCTAGGAAGCTGGTGAGGTTAGGAAATGTAAGTTGCAATTGCCAGCAAACTCATTGGCAATGACTAATTTAGCATCATCAAATCAGTTGCCCTCACCAGGGGATGAGTCACTGCAAGCAGAGGCATTGGAGCAGGCAGGAGGCTTTCCTGTAACAGGAAGATTTCTCCTCTTTACCCCCTCCTCCTCATCACCTCCAGGGGAAGGAAGATCCCCCAGGCCCTGCAGTTCCACCAGGGGGACAGGACCCATTCCCTGCCGAAGGGCAGCTCTGCCTACCAACCTCACGGGGAGCCTGAACGTCAATGAACTCCTCAAAGATGCGTTGTGCCTTGGCAGCCAGCTTGGCTGCTGAGCGGGTCTTCTTGAAGTCTTCACAGGCCAGCCAAAACTCCAGGTTCTCCTCACTGAACTCAGTCTTCAGGAAAGCACGGAAGGCAGCCAGCCCATCTGCAAGGAATACAAGGGGAGTTACAGTGGGAGGAGAAAGCAAGCTGGGAACAATCCTACAGCATCCCTCCATCTGCTCCTGCCCAACCGAAGCCATTCTCATAGATGTGTGACAGCACACTCCATGATCTCATTATCCATCATCTAGAGTGATGCCACGTGAAGCCAAGCATTATTCACTGTGATTAATGAAAACTTAGTTTTTGCCAGCCAACATAGCAAAATGCTTTCTTTGGCACTGACATATCAAACCTCTGAAATTTGAAACAACCATAGAATCATTAAGGTTGGAAAGACCACTGAGATCATCTAGTCCAACCTGTGACTGCTCCAGCTCACGTTCCTCAGTGCCACATCTCCGCAGTTCTTGAACCCCTCCAGGGTTCTTCTGAGAAGTTTTTCCTCACACCCAACCTAAACTTCTCTTGGCACAACTTGATGCCGTCACCTCTCATCCTATCACTGTTACCAGGAGCAGAGGCTGACCAATCTCACCGCAGCCTCCTTTTAGGAGCTGTAGAGAACTGCAAGGTCTCCCCTGAGCTCCTCTTCTCCACACTGCCCCATGCCATTTCCTCAGCTGCTCCCCATCACACTGTGCTCCAGACCCCACACAGCTCCCTGCTTTTTCTGGACACACTTGAAGCTTGAATGAGGCAACCTGTTTCCACACCACCTTGTCCACATTAATGACGGGATGTTACAAAGTGGGGCACTAAGAAAAGCCTTTAATAAAATAGAGCACGTGTGGACTCGTCTCTGACGTTCTCCATCACTTTGCTTTATTGCCTTATGACATATTTTTAGTTCCCACTCACACAGAGGAAGGATCTTGGAGAGCACAACTGTTACAGCTACAATAAAGGAGAGAGGGAAAGGACACAGCGTAATTACTACTCGTCTAGTCAGCAGTAAAAGTGTTCTTATCACTTGCTAATGCTCAGCAATTGTGACATTCCAGTAATGTAATCTGACTCAGCTGGGGCAGAATAGAAACGTTGAGAGATTTATTAGGCATCAATGTGCTCTTAAACCCCAGCTGGGTGTATTTATGGACACAGCTATTGTTTTTTATTTCCTTTCCCTGAATGGCACGAGCAGAGTAGAACTAACTGAAGGCTTTACACACACCCCTTCTCTTTTGCTAAGCTGAAGGATAAATTTGGCTCCTGTTTTTTTTTCCAGTAACACGTCTCTAACTTTTCCAGTAGGGTCTGAATAGTTGTAGCTCATGACTGGAAACCTCCCCAGTCAGCCTTGGCTGCTTCCAAGGAAGCATCTATAAATACTGATGGAGTCGGGAGAGCACTCAGCAAGGTCAGGCTCAGGGAAAGAACGATGGGAGTGGATATTGGCTGAGATAGGCAAAGGCTGACAGGGTTTGCAAGCCTGGATCTCCTCCTGCACTGCTGCAAGGGGTGAGCTCCACCTCACCCAACGAACTGCTCCAAGTGTCAAACAGCAGCCAACAGCCCAAGGCAGGGGAGATATCTGACTGCCTGGATCCTCAGAGGGACCAGCAGAGAAGATGCATGGCCAGATAGGACCAAGCTCCAGGCTATTACTCTCTGCTTTAGGCTTCATGAAGATCCCTCACTGACAGGCTTGGCAATGCTAACTGCTCCATCAGCACTCTGCATTGCAAAGAGCTGCTGTGGCACAGCACCCAGCAGCTAAAACTGGAATGTCTCCACCTCAGCTACACTGCCTTCTTCCTGTCAGCCCTGGGAGGGTGAGAAATAGCTGTATCACACCCAGTGATTAACGCACTTGTAGAAAGGTTTGGGGCTGCAGCTGTGGGCAAAGGAGGGCTCTCATCCAAGGGCACTGCTGAGCACAAATTGTGGGTTCAAAACCAAAGCAGTAAGGCAATGTCAGCCCTTGAGAAGCCCGCAGAATGGAGTGTCCAAAGGCACCTCTAGGAAGCTAGCACCTGTCAGTCATGCTTCCCCTGGCTGCTCCAAGCACCTCTATGAATAGGTAGATATGGAGCAAGAGAAGACTGTTTTTGAGCTACTCCAGTTCCTGAAACCCAGAGATACACAGATATTCTAAACTCTGCTATTTAATGCCTGTAACATTCATAGTGCTTATGTGGAGGACTTGACAAAGGAGAGAGGAGCCCTTAGAGGAGGAAAAGGAGAGGACATTAACAGCTGAACTGACAGATTTCACTAAGTATGAATGGGGAAAAGCAGCAGTTCCCTGAGATTTTGCCATTTGGTAAATCATCAGACTGTAGGATGCTTAATGTTAATCATTCCAGCACCCAAACAAGCTGTTTTGACAACACCATCTCCACTGTGTGTCCCTGTAGAGTTCTGTCTTCCCTTTCACTTGCCTTCTGCCCAGAGAATTTACAGGCGCCCCATCCCTGCAGGTACCCAAGGGCAGGTTGGATGGGGCCCTAGGCAGCCAGATTGGTGCCTGATTAAGTGCTTTGGCAACCCTGCCCACAGCAAGGGTCAGAACTGGACGATCTTAGAGGTCCCTTCCTCCTCCAGCCAGTCTATGATGCTGTGATTCGCTGTCCTGAACTTTCCCTTTCCTCTGCAACAGTCCCAGCACTGAGAGAGAACCATTTGCCAAAAATAGCAGCTGTGCATGGCAAATATAATATCTGCAGAACGTAGTATCTGCTCAAACAAGTGGACGTGGTGATTGATGAGATGAGAAAGGCTTTGGCTTCAGCCCTGCCCCAGAGAGCAGAGCAGCAGCTGGGACCAAGAGGTCTCCACATGCTCTCACATCAATCAGCTCCTTTTTATTTTGAAGCAAGTTTAGACAGAGGATATATAAATAATAGTATCTGGCTGAGCTCCATGGTTTTTTTTAATACATTCCTGTCATCTCCTCCCCAAAGCCCTTGGGGAGCTGGAAACAATCAGGGCAGACCTGAGAGGACCTTGCTGAGGAGAGCTTGGATGGAGGAGAGGTCATCCTGGACCGGAGGCCGCTCTGCTCTGCAGATCAACCCTTTGGCCTCTGCCTGCCTGCCTGTACCTCCAGCTGGAAGTTCAGGCACAGAGGTAGAAGCCTGCATCACTGCACAGTGCTAAATCACTGCCAACAGGTTTGTCATGGGACAGTGGCTAAACTAATGGGAAGGGCAGGAGGACCTGAGCTGGCATTTGACACGGTTGTTGGCTTTCATCTCCTGTATGTGAAGGCTACCAAGGAAGCATCCCTGATGAATTTGCATTTCAAAGCTCATTTCAACTGAGAAGCACGGAGGTTGCTGTGTGATGTGAACAGGAGAACATCTGCTGTTGGGTCAGCCTTTTGAAGTAGGCTAGAAGACACGTGGAGCACCTGAGAAGTACAGTTCCAAAGGGAATGGGGAAAAAAGCATGGGGATGATAAGCTGTATTAAATCCTTCATGAAGGTGGGTAGGCACAGGCTGCTCAGAGAAGCTGTGGGTGTCCCATCCCAGGTTGGATGGAACTTTGGGCAAATTGATGTAGGCAGAGATGTCCCTATGGCAGGGGGTTGGAACAAGTTGATCTTTAAAGGTCTCTTCCAACTCAAACCATTTTCTGGTTCGATATCTTTAGAACTATCACAGGATAGATCTCTGCTAGATCAGGTTGCCCATCAGTGCTCAGAGCCCTTCCAGCCTGACCTTGTCTGTCTGCATGGATGGGGCACCCACAGCTCTCTGGGCAGTCTGTGCCAGTGCCTCACTGCTCTTGTTGTAATAAACTTCTTCCTTATATCCAGTCTAAATCCCCCCTCTTTCAGTTTGAAACCATTTCTCCTTGTCCTATCTCACAGACCCTGCTTGAAGAGTCTGTTCCCTTCCTTCTCACAGCCCCTTTAGACACTGAAAGGCCACTCCCAGGTCTCCCCAGAGCCTTCTCCTCTCCATACTGAACAGCCCCAACTGGGGTTATAGGTAATTCCTTACCAGACAGGGCTGAAGGGACAAGGTCACAATGCTCTGCATAGCATATGTACACTCTCACTGCTGCCTAGCATTGCTTTGATGAATGCTAGGTGCCTGTCACTAGCTCATGCTGATGCTGTTCTGGCTTAGAGAGAACTGGGAGTAGGAAGGGATATTCCTATGCTGTGTAGGAAGAGCAGCAAGGTGTAGACAACAGGAGGAGGAGGACAATAAAATTTGGGCAGAAGAGCATCAAGTTCACAACATTGTAGAAAAAAAATAATCTATGAGATAAAAATGGAAACTCAGTGCCAAGGTTTTCCATGTCAGATGCTTCATTGATAAGTGAGTAAGGGTTGAGGACAGACTGTCCTGCTGGATCCTGGACAAATGAGAAGCCATGTGTCCAGCCCCTCAAGGGATGCAGAATGAGACATGCCACTGTGTGCATCTCCCTGCGGCAGCCTGTCAAAAGGAATCTCCGTCTGGCTGACCAGAACTGCACCTCCTGGGCACGGGTACAGCGGGGGGATTTCTCCTCTGTTACTCACATCATGCACACACGCTCTGCAGACCACAGAGCTCCAGTTCCCTGGGAGCCATTGCTAATCCAGCACTGAATAGGAAAAGAATGCCAGAACCTAGCAAGTTGCAGCCACTGCTTTTTCTCCCCGAGCACCCAAGGGAACATGCTATATATGATCCTTCCTCTTGCTTTTGCAAACGCCTGCTGTAAACCAGGCTTGAGCTCCCTTTTCCTGCTGCCTGCCATGCTCACAAGCCCTGGCCCAAGGGCACACTGCTCCGGGAGATGTCTCTTGCAATGAGCTGGGACAAGGCTCCCGCTGCATGAAGAGGGTTGGCTGGCTGATGCCATGGTTTCAAGCTGATTCGCTTCTCCCGTTAGCAAGAGCAAGTCAGGTATTGTTGTGTTGACCTATTTGTCTGGGGCTGCCAAGGAAGTTGGGCTGTGCTATATCCTAATGTGGCACTGTATCCCAGTGTGGCACTGGAGCCCCACTCAGCTCCCTGAAATCAGCGTCACAGCCTCCTTCCAAAAGAAGCTAAATGTCCACATAGTGAAGGAGGTGTGACAGACGTGGCAGGCAGCAGCAGCCCACCTGCTAGCACTGCAAGCCACAGGGGAATCCTCCACGAGCACAGCTGGTGCTCAGCCCATGCCCTGAAGCATAGAATGGAATTTGTGGCTGGCTGATGTTGTTCACCTGGGCAGTCACAGGGAAACCTGGCTGATACAGCTCTGTACTTCTCTTGGCACTCAGTGCAGATTAGCTGGCAGCTTTACTGTAGATGTTGCTTTCTTACTGTGAAATTTTGGTCAGATAAGGCACGAGTTCCTATCAGGAACTAAATGTTTTTCACTAGGTGCCAAAGAACTACCATAATTACTTCCCATCATAGAGACAGGGAAGATTCTGATGTTTCATTGATCGCTCTATGAGGCTAATTGATTAATAGAACCAGATATTCTTGTAACGCTATTGGATGAAGTAATTGGGCTGAAACTCGATTTGGCATTCACAGCACTCAGCTGAAGAGGGAACAGTGTGTGTAATTCCAAAACACAGACAAAAGGCAACTTCACTGCCTTTTGTAACCAACACATTTTTGTTGCAGCCTCTGTCCAAAAAGGAGAAAAATGGACAACTTTAGCATTATTGAAGGAAGAACAAGGGCTTGAGTTTAAAGACAGAGCTGTAACATCAATGTGAACATCCTGTCCTCTCTCACTGCCCATTCTTCAGGCACCTCTGTCTCTTTTGTGTATTTTTCCCTTCGTGTTCCAGATTTGGACTAAAGAAATGTTCCCTCTTGGCCATACCCAGATACACGATCGTTTCCTACTGCCTGCAAGCCATGATCTCAACGAGATACTGCTGCTATAATTACATATTGCTTTTTCTGCCTTGGACAGCCAGCCTGTTCAGAATTGTCACCTAATTCTCAGCCAAAACTGTTGTCATCCCAGCCGAAAATCCAGAAAATAAACTGCATATTATTCAAAATAATAATATAATTCTATCCTGATGCTTTAATATGCAAATCCTGACCTGCTAAGGAAGTCAGCTCGTTCCTTATGGCGGTAAATCAGTTCACCGCCCACACTGACTTCTTCCCAACCTCAATTCACTCGTTTTACTCTTAAATAGAAACAAATTAATGAATCTATACTGTGAACTTCCCTGCCTTGTTTATAATTCCTCAGCACGAATGCACCGGTGAAGCAGGGTAACGCATTCTGAACAGAACTGATATGATTGATCTATTGAATGGAGTGAGGCGCTGATTATATGTTTGCATAATGTTTCTTGATGTGAAACTTTCAGGTTTGCACTGGGAACTATAAATTAGAGCCAGCCAAGTGCTACCATGCATGGTTTCTTCATAAGGACTGCAACAGAGCACAGAGTTCAAGGTTATTTAACTGCACATTGGATTTCCTACTGCAATTGATGGTAGCAATCAGTCAGATTCACCAGATGGCTCTGAGAATTTCAGCTCTGCAGGCCTGGATTACAATATTCTGCAAGGGATATGGTCAGTGGGCACGGTGGCAATGGGTTGGGCCTGATGATCTTAAAGGCCTTTTCCAACCTGAACGATTCTATGAATGGAAAGAATGGGACGCTATGGTGCCATAACCCCCTGCTCAATGACCTTTTGCAAATGTGAAGATAAAATATTAATACAGTGGAGTGCTGATGAGTGGTGGCAATGAAGCCCGGCCCGTGAATCACTGTTACCACTTCCTCGGGGTAAGAGGTACCCAAGGGACCACTCCTGTGCCATGCAGTGTGTGTACCTTAGTTTGCCCTACCTACACACAGTGCCTAGGGGAAAAAAGGTGGTACAAGTTGATCTCTACTCACATTTATGGGACAAAAGGACATCAAAAGAGTCTGCCCATCTCGTTGCTTCTTCTGTTGACAGTCTTCTGGAAGAAAGAAGAGGCAGATTACAGACAACCCATGGCTGTTTGACAAGCACACCAAGGAAGGCTGGAATTCTTCTCACCAAACTTTGGAGGTCTACAATAGAAAGGTCTCCAAGTGTGCAAGTCCCCCTGGTTCCCTGCAAAGTCAGTGGGGAGATGCCAAGGGACTCTCATGGGTCTCCTCACCTCGTCCTCAGGTAGACAGGTAAAGCAAGGCAGATGAATCACACCCAGAAAGGGACCAATTTTTCCTTACCGACTCAAAGCAAAGAGCAGGGAACAAGTTCAGATGCAGACATTTACATTGTAAATGTCAAAAGTTAAGTGAAACGAAACCCACCCCTGCAGAAGTGTTTATTTCTCTCTCCTGACTGCAAGGAGAAGGTGAGCTCAGACGTGGGATCAGATGGATTCCATCCCACTTGCCTTAAATCAGGACTCCGTATTGTTTGAGGCATCTGCTTTCGTGCTGTGCAAACTAACACAGGACATTTAGGCAGTGTTTAATAACACTCAGCTAAGGAGGACTGTGACCTGGAATTGCTGCTCACCTCTTCGACAAAGCCAACTGCTCAGACTTTGATTTGCTATGACAGAGGGATATATTACCCCCATCCCTGGAGATGTCCAAGGATGGGTTGGATGGGGCTGGGCAGCCTACAGCATACAACAAAAGGAAGGCAGTTCAAGAGGAGTGGTGGGCAGGGAGAGGAGGACAGAGGTGGGATGGGGTGGGGATGCTGCAGCTATACTCACTTCAAAGCCCGGTTGGGCTTGTCCGGAAGAATAGCTGTGAAATCATTATATGAGTCTGATTTGTGAGACAGGCAGCCCAGGCGAGTCCTCATCCCTCTGTTCCTGTGGTCGATGTGAGGGAGCAGGGGGGTGAGCAGGGGAAAACCAAAGAAGAGGATTATAACTCTAGCCAGAGCTAACAAAACAAAACCCCAAAGATGACACAGCTCAGCGGCTCTGTGCCATGTCAGATCTGCATCCCTCGTCCCTCACCTGCGGGAGGAACCCTGAAGCATCTCCAGGAGGATGCTAAGGATGGATACAGCATGGATACTGGCTCGCCCAATGCCAACCAGTTGTTCTACTGGTCCAGCTAGCAGAAAGGCTGTGCACTAGGTGGTGTCCTGGAAGGGCCTGCCCTCAGCAGAGCAGGAGGGCAGCTACACCTGCAATCAGCTGCATCAGAACAGGGTGGTGCCTATGCTGTAGGGCAGGAAGGGGTTGGAGGGCAGGAAGGAGCAAGGCACCTGTGATGTGAGCTGTGCTGCAGAGCCAGGGGAGCCTGGCCCACTTCTTTAGACTCAGCATTACATAAGCAGGCTAAAGCTTCCTCTTCCATGGCAGGTTTATCCATGCAGAAAAGGACCTTACTGCTTTTCCCTTTGAATTTCGGAGCAGTTCCAGTGCTTTGCTCCCACATAGGCTCCTCAGCTCCCTGCCAACTCCTTCCCAGCACAACTGATGAGAACAGCATCACTGGGATAGAGAGAGCTTGGAAAGGAAGGGAACACAAAGGAAGAAGGAGATGGAACATACATGCATGGCACTGGACTGGCATCGTCTCCCCTCAGAAACAGATGCCAACTGATGGTTGGACAGTGTCTAGAAGGGCAGAGCCTGAGCTCCCCCCAGCCTAAGAGCACCCCTCGTGGGTCACTCCTGAGCATGGGAGGGCTGTGGCATGCACTTCTCAGCTGCTAGACTCCCTCTGGAAGCTCCCTCTGAGCCCTGCTGCTGAGCAGATGCCAAACAATCCCTGAGACTGCAGAGGGAAGCACAGCGTTTCTCCCTTCCCTATGCAGAACACTTCAGCACTGAGCTAATCTGTAGCACGCCTGTCCCCTTTCTCCTCCCGCCCTGCAGAGAGTTTCTATTATTGCACATTTTCATGTAATCTTACAGCAAATTAAATGTTAATTAAATGCAACGAGTGTCTCCCTGGCAGAGCACAGGCAGCTCCAAGCACAGAACCTGGGGATCTTCAGTGGCAAGAATAGCTCTAAAACCCGAACCTGTGACCAGCAGTCTCAGGACGTTGCCCTACATCCACCCCCCACAGCAAAGCAGACACCCTGCATGCAGGGAACTGCATCCCCAGCTGAGCCTGCTGTGCTCAGACTGACACTGAGTGGCTATAGGATCCCACTGGTACCTTTCCCATATGCCACCTTCCCCCAGCCCTTATTCTCCTCAGCCGTGCCTTGATGAAGCTCACGGCTTCCTCAGCAAGAGATGTGGCATGCACTGCTGCACTGCTGCTCAGATTTCTCTCCAATGCCTGAGATGAAGAGGCTGCAGCAGGGAATGGCAGTAAGGAGGCTGCGGTGCTGCACTGTGAGCACAGAGCTCAGCTCATGGAACACAGGTCGTGATTCCAGAACAGGACGTGGGGGAAAGAACATGGGTTGGTAGGAGGTTGGGAGGTAGGGGAAGGGCAGGAAGGAGCCATGAGGCTCACAGAATGAGGCAGACAGCAACAGGATAGACAAGGGATGTGGTGTCCGTGCAGTTACCTCCGTGGGATCAGTAACGCAGCCATTCAGGACTCCAGTTATGGCCAATCCTCTATCTGGTTGGCTTGGAGGGTGGTTTGCAGGAAACAGGAGTGTAGGAAGGAGGGATTCACAGTTTCACGCCCTGGCACTTAAAAATATAACAAAGAATCCTCTGCCAGAAAAGGAGGGCCCATTGCTCTCAACCCATTTGATCCTCGTCAGTTTTCCAATGGAAGACTCTTGGACTTGAAGGATGATCACAGAGAAAAGACAGCATTTCCTCCTGGGAGCAGAGCCATGGGGTAAGTCCAGCTGCAGGTCCGAGCTTGGTGTCACGGCTCAGCATGGAGCAGCAGGGCTCAGCACAGCTGCATTCATCATGCAGTGCCTCCGAAGGTCGGTCCTCAAAAGGCAAAGCTCCAGGGCGACCTCCCTAAGAGGACTGAACTACCTCTTGTTCCCGTTCCTGCGAGTCATGGCTGGCATTACTGGCCATCGTGGTGCTGCAAACAGAAGAACAGGAGGACTTCATGCGTCTGTGGATCTCTCCTTCCACCATCACAAGGCTCAAGTACTCACATAGACGAACTCAAAGAAAGCATCTCCTCATCTGGGCAGTGGGAGCTCATAGGAAGCCGTAGGGAGGGATGAATGGACTGACGGGGTGGCAGGGTTCCCTGAGCACGGGCACACAGACGCTGCTGGAACAGATCTCCCAGCAGGGAGCAGAAGGCAGTATCCACTAAGCTGGTGGGACAGAGCAGGATGGAGCCGCCTGCGTAGTGAGCAAAGTGCAAAGGTTTCCTGTTTGCCAGGACAAGGCTGAGCTCCAGATAACCTCCAGGTCCCCCTGACCAGAGGGGATGGCCAAGGAGGAGAGCAAGGAGCTGATGGGAGCAGCAGCTGCATGCAAAGGGCCAGGAGCTCTGCCAGGGCCGGGGGAGATCCCAAAGCTCAGGCTGCCCAATGCAGCATGCCTTTTAAAACCTGATTACATTAAAAATGCACAAAGCCTCTTCCCAACTAAATTAATGGAACTGGGGTTGCACTATACGCCAGTGAGTGCATTTTCTTAATCCCTGCCCTGACCGGCTGCTTCGATGCGCTTTAACTGAAATCAATCCTTGTAATACCTTAAGCCCCTTCAAAATTTCCTCATTAACAGTTTCACCCGCATGTGGGGCCAAGCAGAGGATTTCCCAGAGGCCAGCAGCCCCTTCTCTCTCTGACAGCTGGGATGGGTGCCTACGTGGTGCCCTCTCTTGCAGTCTCCCCTTGCTGCATGCTTTTGGAGGTGCTGTTACGAAACAGCTTGCTGCTCACCCCTGCTCCCACCCACAAAAACTGCACAACAGAGAGGCACCCAACTTCCCCGAGGTCCCAAAGTCTGTCTGACTTTGGAACATCAAGTCCCACAGCCAGGCTGGAGCATCTGTGGGTATGCCCTTGGCTTGCCAGTGAAGTCAGTCGATCCGTTTAGAAACAGAATGCAGTGAAGGCATCCCAGAAAGAGTCTGTGGTGAGGATTATCTCTTCACCCTCCATCCCTCGTCCTCCTCCACCTCCCTCCTACGGCAGGACCCCATCCAGGAGAACTGACAGACTCATCATGGATGCGTTTTGGGGTTTCTCCTTGGGAGACAAAGGGAGGGGGAGCAATTATGACATCAGGATTATCGACCCCCCTCCATCCCAGGAGATCACCTGAGCAAAGATAAGGGAGCCATCCCAACCAGCAGCACAAAGGGGAAGAGGAAAACAAACCAAACAAACACCAGACCCGGAGGGGGGGGGGGGGGGCTTCAGGAGACTAAGAACCCACAGAGCCGAGTAGATAAACCGAGCAGGGAGGCACTGCTGACAGGCGCACAGCGCGATACTCACCGCGGTTGACCTGTCCTCTGCACCCGCGCGTGCTCGGGAAGGCTCTGGAGACACAGCAGAGAGCTCCCTTCGCATCCAGCCCCTCGCACTGCCCTTCGAACCCTTTCTTTCCCCGCACCCCACCCGGAGCCCCGCGCTTCAGCCCCGCACAGCCTCACCCGGCGCTCCGCAACGCGGCGGCTGCACCGCGATGGGCGGCGATGCAGCGGTGCCCACCTGACCCGCACGTCCCTCCGCATCCCTCCTCGCCTTCTCACCTGCTGGGAGAATCCCCCCGCCCCGCTACAGATGCCGGGGGGAGGAGGGATGTCTGCGAGAGCTGTCGCTGCTGTCACCCTCCCCGCTTCGGAAGGGAGCGTCCCTCCCGCATCGCTTTGATCAGCTCCTCTGAGGCTTAGGGGAGGATGCTGCCCTCGGATCGTCGGCAGTCGCGCAGACAGAAGGGAGTGGGGAGTTTAATTAGAGAGCCTCTGTGTCAGAGGGGTCAAGGGAAATCGTTAACCTTATTGCACGGCATGGGAAAGGGAAGAAACCAACCCACCTGGCAGCTTAGGTTGTGACCAGCCCTTGCTCTCCTCTGCTGTGTGCCCCCCGCCCTGGAACCAACCTTGGCTTGCTCACAGCACAGCCTCCCAGCCCTCTCCTGCACCCAGCCCTCCACCTTCAGCCAACAGAGTGTGTATCCAGGGCTTCTGCTAGAACCTATCCCTGCACCCCACTAATAGGATTCTGCCTCTCAACAGTGAGACCTCAGGCCTGGGCTTGACTCAGCTGCCAGAAGCACTGCCCCTGGATGCCAGTGCAGATGTTCAGAGTGGTAGAGGATGTCCCGTCCCTGCAGATGGCCAAGATCAGACTGGATGGCCTCTGAGCACTGCTGGAGCTGGGGGTGTCCCTGCTCAGTGCAGGGGGTTGGACCAGATGACCTTTAAGGATCCCTTTCAACTCAAATAATTCAGTGATTCTATGACCACGAGAGCTCCTGCTCACTCACTTCTTAAGGCATCAGAAACAAACAAACACCACAAATCCCAAGCAGTTAAATCAGTCATTATTTTTCTCTCATTGCCTTTTCTCAGCTAACAAAGCACTGGGCTGACATCCCTGTGCTACTAGCAAGCAGCATGACTTGAGATAGCACATCATCACCAGGCAACATCCCTGGGGAAGGAGCATCCCGCAGAACTTACTATGAAAACACAGGGATTAGCAGCACTGCAGGCCTGATCCCACTGCTCCAGCCTGGATTCCCTCCTTCACAGCTCATCTTGGTAAGGAAATATTTTCCTTGCTGTTATCCTCCCCTTGCAAAGCCCAGGTCATCCTGACTTGGATTTGTCACATCTCCGGTGATGAGGAGACAAGTGCTGAAAAATACCCTACAAAAATGCAGTGGTTGATACAATCTCCTCTCAGCCAAGGTTAAAGGTTGAGGTTCATCTGATGCCTCTGGCTTGTTCCAGTTAAATAACAATCCACTTCAGCCCTTCCCTGAACCCAAGCCAAATTTAAACACAGCATCACTTAGGGTTCAACTCCTAGCGTGTCATTTTTGTTTTAATGCATTTCCACACTTCCAGGTTCTCCCTGGGCAACTGCAGGATGTCACAAATGACCCTGGTTTTGTAACACAACCATCAGATCTCACTCACACATACAGACATCGGGGGAGTGGAGGGCTGCCAACAAAACATTCCATCAACAAAGCTCTACTCTGGATCCTCCTGATCCATTACTCATATAGAACCATAGGATTGGAAGGGACCCTTCAAGGCCATCTGGTCCCACTCCCTGCACTGAGCAGGGACACCCACAGCTGCATCAGTGCTCAGAGCCCATCCAGCCTGACCTTGGCTGTCTGCAGGGATGGGGGCACCCACCACCTCCTGTTGCAACTCACAGACCATTCTGCCAACCACCATTTTTCTCCTACGTCCCTGGGCTGGGTTGGAGTTAATGGAGATCAAAGTGAGCTGTGTTGACACAGGCACGGCGGGAAGTGTAATTAAATTGCAGATAAAGAGAATTGTACTTTGCAGGGTAATATTTTAGAAAGCTTCTGTGAGAAAAGATTTATAGCAAATTCCTTCTAAAATGGCCCTGATGTTTCCAACTACCCCGTAGCTCGTATTTAAAACCTTTTAATAAAATAACTCATTTTGATATTACGTTTGAATCCCATATCATAAAGGGTAAATCTCTAAAGAAATGCTTTAAAGCAATCTCCCCATGACCTGCTCTCAGCAAACATGAACACAGGGGGATGGCTGTCTGTCACCAGGCAATGCAGGTGGGGATTTACCAGCCCACAGCCTAGGTATCCACCCCTCTGGGCTATGTTGGAACATAGCACCTCTACCAAGCAGCTCACAGGCTTGGCTGCCACCTCTAAGTGAGATTCCATTCCAACTTTCTTGTATTTTGCTGTAATTTCATCATCATTCTCTGATCAAACATCCGCAGCCAGGAGCTGCTGCACTTGTAGAAATACATCAACGCCTCTGTGTGCTTTGCTAAGTGTTAAAGCAGTGCCAAGCAGCACCCTGGCAATGTACAGGGTCTCCAGCTGAAGGAACACAGCTGCCAATGCCCAGGACTCGGTGCTCATCAGCCACAGGAGCAGCAGTGGCTGCTCTGACTCACCAGCTCACTCCTCTGCCCATCACACAGGGGATCTGCATGACCTGCAGCAGTCCCAGAGGCCACGCTGCAGGAGAATGCATCTGCCCCACTTTTCCCCACCTGCACACCCTCCTGCCACCTGCAAGGTTCCCCTGCAGCCTTTGCTATATGTGGTTCACTTACCTCTGACATGTTCTCCTCTTGCTCCAGTTAGCTTTATTTCCAACTAGCTCAGCCCTGGTGTTATTTATTGGTTTACTGTACCATCACAGATACCCAGGACACAAACATTCAGAAGAAACGCAATCCACCATTTTAATATCACAACAATAGAGATGGAGAAATCCAAGCACAGCAGAGCTGCAAGCACTGCCTTTCCTTCCAGCATCAAAGCCCACTGCTAATCCCATTGAAACGGGGATCACCCAGCCCCTCTCCTGTTTCTGTTGATCTCAGCTCCCTCCTCTTTCCATCAGCAATTCCAGAAAAACACAGAGATCCCACCATGTGGATGCTGCAGATAAAGTCAATAGGTGCGACGCATCGAAGGGAAAACAACAAAACACATCTGGGGAGTGAGGAACCATCTGCTGCATGCTCCAAGAGCACAGCCAACCTCCTGTCCCTCCCCACCCTGGGCACCGGGCAAAGCATACAGGCTGCAGGGATGCAGCAGGGTACGGCTGGCCAAGGGAAAAGGATGGGACCCTGTGGGTGGTGGTGGCAGTGCCATGCCAGGATGTGGCAGGGCTGTGTTGCTCACTGGGGCCAGTC